TTTGTGGTTTAAAATAAATTATTTTTATTATAAACTCCTGCCTCGCTCGCCTGCCTGCAAATGGGTCTAAACAACACTGAGGATTGTGACACATCAGCTGCTATTGGTTGTAGAAAACTGCCTTGTTGCCATGGTTACGTATCATCATAACAATTTTTCAAAACTAAAAAAGTTTCAGTAAAAATCCCTCCAGCTGCACAGCATCTGATATCAAAGGAAACAATCATCCAAAAAAATGTGATTTACATACAAAAAATAGGAATTAAAGTTTCCAAAAGCAATTTCAATTTCAATTCAGTTTATCTATATAGCACCATATACAACAAAGTTGTCTCATGGCACTTTACAGAAACATTCACATACATAAAAGCCAATTAGTAAAGTTCACTATCTAAGGAAGCAGAATCTCAGAATGAAAGTAACAGAGCTGCTCTAACATGCAGCCACCTTGAGCGGCGCAATAAAATATATCAAATGTAGTTTTAGCCATATGTTTTAAACAAAGTCAAGTCAGTCAAGTCAGATTTACTTATTGAGCACATTTAAAACAAAAACTGTTACCAAAGTGCTTAACAAAAATATCACAACAACAAATAAAAAGTAGCAAGATATATTTACAGCACATGGAATAAAAATATAAAACCGAAAACATAATTAGAAACAATGAAATATTAAATCAGATCACGTTGTGTCAAAAGTCAAGGAAATAATAACAAAAAGATTACATCTTACAAAATCTTATGTTAACTCTTAAGTTTCCAGTATTCTCACTTAAGAAATGAACAGCAACAGAGCAGCATTTTACAATGAAAACACTTAACCCTCCAACCCTCTAGTGGGCATCTCTGTCTCCTTCTACTTTAAGTAGAGCTGACACAAAATGGCGACCAGTTTACTCTGTGGTTTTGACCAGAGGGTCTTGCAGTAAAATCACACAACACAGCATTCTATTTACAGATCAGAGAGCAGGTTTAACCCTCTTTTTTTTTTTAAATAGCTCAAATGCACTTTCTAAAGCTGACTAATGAACTTTCGACAAAATTTTTTTTAGACGGAACATTGTTTTGCGCATGTGTCTGAATACGAGTACGGTAAGCCGACTGTAGTTAGCTTGTAGCTTCGCTACTTAGCTCTCGAAGAAAGGACTTTAACACCACTTACGCACAGTTTTCAACTAAAAAAGTAACGATTAAATCTGACAACTATGATTTTACATGAGACACAGCATTACTGCGGTTAGCCAGTAGAATACAGATCTCTATGCTGGTGAAGATTCTCAGTCATCCAGGACATGATAAATCCAAAAATGTTCAATACAAAAACAACTGGAGTTTATTTGTAACAGAAGACGTTTCGCTCCTCACCCGAGAAGTAATTGAGAATGCTTCTCGGATGAGGAGCGAAACGTCTTCTGTTACAAATAAACTCCAGTTGTTTTTGTATTGAACATTTGTGAAACACAGATCTCTATCATAGGCTAAATGTCTATCGTTTCTACCGTTGTCGATAAACCTGGTGTTAAGTGATGATGTAGCAGACAACCAGCTTTAATAAAGGTGAAGCCTGATCAAGTTCTCCTCAGCAGCTGAAAACATAAGGACTGAATTTCTGCTTTAATTCAAGCTACATATAAAAATGTGTAATCAAAAGTGTTTACCAATAATCAACAAGTAATCAACTAATGATATGTATTGATTTATAAGAATTGTATAATCCATTGTATAATTGTGTGATTTACTGGAAAAAGTGTTGAAGTGAAAAGAGCAAGAACCGAGGCCTAATGTAACCGTCTGATGTAACCATGAGGCAAGTCTGAACAAGTCTGAACATGTCTTGAGCAGAAGTAAGAGAACAAAAAGTCATGAGGTTCAACTCGACTCATCTTGTGGTGACGCACTTCTGAGCAAAACAGGAAACAGCTTGTTTCTCTCAGGTTCTGGAAAGTACCAGAAGCAGAGCAAACAACTTTGGGGAAAAACCCAAAGAACCAGTTAAAACCGGTTGAAGTACAAAACAACAGCCACTTACTGGAAAAAAGATGATATCATTTTCCAAGAAAGGCCCCTAACCCCTCCTTAAGAGGAGGAGGGAAAAAGAAGTCTTTAAATACAGACTGAACTGATGAAACTTGGTCACAGCTGAGTCGAAGAGTCGAGCAGAAGGAACTACAAGCAGGAAGCAGTCAGAGGATCAGAGACGCCTGAAAGAAGTTGGATTTTATCGATTTGGGACAAGGCTGGGATTTACTTCTCTTCTCACTGAAATGGGATTGGAATTAAGTCTTCACTTGCCACAGCAGACCGGAGAGGAGTTCTATTTCTAAGAAAAGCTTGGCCCGTGCTCATCCAAAGCTCTGATTTCTTCAAATTGGCATAAGCTGCTTCTGGTTTGGGTTGGCCCGTATTTCTCTCCTGGAAAACGGGAAATATGCCGTTTACGTCACAAAGATTCTCTGAGGGTCACCTCGGAATCATGGTAAGCGGACTACCCTGTCCTTCTGGTCTAAATAAATTAATTCATCAGATTAGAAATTTACCATACAGGATAAATTCAAGAGTATTAAACTGGGTACTAGAGGGTTTTGCTCTGAGGTGTTTCTGGCTCATGAGGGAGTTGAGAGAGAACCTCTTTTGACTTGATGTGTGAAAGGTCTGAGTGAAGGTAGTGTTCACAAAATCCCCAAGGGCTCTTGGGGATTAGAAGTCATCAGGAAGATTCCGTTACCTTAATTTAGTAAAGAAAGTGTATCCTGTGTAATAATGAAAATTAATCATTATAAAATTGTACCTATTGCTGTACCCCTGCGCAAATTGTTGATTAAAGCAAAGCAAAACGTATAAATCTGGACTATTATTTCACCCTTATTGAACAAATACATGGTAATGCTTAGTTCACTTAACAACATCAATAGAGGAGGTTTTGAAAGGTTCACTAGCTAATGAGAGACAATGCCCTTGTGCCCATCATCCAGGGCCCTAAAGATTACCAGAACAGTTAACAATTGCAACGCTATATTGAGAGGTGAGCGGCCACAACGTGAGTTTCTCTGGACCAGATGACCCATCCCGGCTGCTTGGAGGATCAAGGTAACAGAGTGAGATCAGGGTGTGACTCACGGATTTAAGGTTGTTAATATTCTGGATGAATCACCTCGTTGCAGCCTTAATGAGGCTACTTTAGACAGCTGCAGGTAATACCACGGCGCTGAAGTTAGTTTCCGGACCCCTTGGAGGAGAGGCTGCAAGCAAAGGTGCTTATCGCTAATTCCAGTGGTTACCTTTGCTTATCGGAAAGCAAAACACCGTGTACCATATATATCGTGCATTCCTAGTAGATGGGTTGATTTTCTTTTCCTCGCCACAACCATGGCTGGGATGTAGTGTGTTGTGCATTTGTATATTGCATATGTAGTGGACTAGGCCTCCGACCAAAACCTGCCTTTGAAGACCTTCATGGGACAGGAACTGTTATTTCATTGATTTGAATCCAGAAATACAAATTAGCTCATCCAGAGACTTTCTAATTGTATCCTGAACTAATCAATTGAAAGAAAACTCTTTTTTTATATTATCATTACTATTTTACAATATCTTGATAATCAAAAGTGTGTTTAGTTCATACCATTTTTAAATGTTGAAGTAAACCACTCATTCATCAACTGTGAAACAGTATTAATGTTTTTTAATCCTCATTTAAATTAGAAATCAAGTTAAATGTCTATTTTACAAAGTAATTATGCATTTTTTGATCTTCTGTCTGAAATGAGAAAGAGTGATGTCGGTCAAAAGTCGGAGACAGTCAAAAACAAGTTGTTGGAACGGGCTGTCGTGTTTTTAAAACTCTCAGACAGTAAATAAGAGAACGGGCACCTGCAGTGTTTCTCACTTCGCCAAAACATTTCTCTGTCTGTTCCTAAACATTTCTGCTGTTTTCTTGACTTGTAAAAACCCTTTGACGTCACTAGAACCACACCCCTGCTGGTTGCTTCAACCAATCAGGACTTCCTAAAAGTGACCAGAAGCAGAACTCTTTAAAAGTCGACACTTCCTGGAACTGTCAGTCTTTCTGAATCTGTGGAGTAATGTCTGCTCAGTCTTCTGAGTTTTCTGAGTCTTCTGGAGTCTTCTGGGGTTCTGTGGAGTAGTTCTGGAGTTTTTCCACTGCTGAGTGGGACTTCGGACTCAGTTTCCAGTCTGATGGGGTCATCCAACTCTGCAGGAGCCACGACGCCTCGCTGTGGCTCCACCAGGCGAATGCCCTACAACTTCTGAGGAAGTTTTTTCTGTGGAACGGAGTATCTCACGACTTCTGCAGAGTCACAGCCGCCCTGAGGAGATGCTGAAAGGTAGCGTGCCAGGGACCTCTTGACTGTAGCAGACCCATCCTCTGCCAAGGTAAAGAGTTGTCACGAGCTTCACGTGAAGTGTACCGCGGGCGCTGCGTGTGAAAGGAGCGTGTTGTTCTGGTCTACAGACATAAATCTTCCTGCAACATCTTCCTTTAAACTCCTCCATATTTCCCATCTTTAAAACTCTTCTATTTTGCCAGTAATTAATCTAGATATCTTCAGAAATGTCTGTTGTTTTTATTAAGTAAAACGTGCCAAGTTTTATTAATCAGAACCAGACCAGTCTAATCAAGTGTACAATGTTTTGATGTTAAATATTGATTCTGTTAATAAATGACCACATTTATTTTGATGGGTCAAAGAAAATTAACGTCTCATGTCACTGATTAAACCATCTACGCACAGTACCTCTGTCACATATCTGTAAGTAGCTCGAAAAAGAGAGAACCCGTTATTTAAATATGACTGTAGTGAAGCAGGCTTTAGGTGAGCTGATTTGCCCTGTTGGCACGCACACAGCTGGATATCTCATTGACTTGAAGACTTGATGATGTGTCTATCTCTGCTGCCATTTGTGAATTTTAAGGACGCATATTTAATTGGATTTACGATAACTGGTTCCTGCTTTTTGGATTCAGCTCGTTGCTGGTTTTATCTACAATCAAGGAAGTCATCGGCAGCAAATTTGGACCCGATCATGCTTCTTGCCTTTATGATGGCTTGGTTCGTGTCTCGAGTACCCGGACTCAAATGCTTTGGGCAGAATGGATCAGATCCCGGGGATTTTACCCAGTCACGTTCCATCGGTGTGGCCATGTAATTTGGACATTTTGGAACCGAGTAGACCAACACAGACTCAAAGTAGATGTCATTAAGTTCTGCCTGTCCCTAAACAACTGTGTGCTTATCTGAATTTGGCTCCCTTGGCTGGCCTTGAAGGTCATCTTATCTGAATTTGCCTGGAGAACATGTGATCTGACACTTATCACCCCCTCCCTGAGGAATTTCCAATTGATAACCAGCTAAAACCAGCCGAATAAACTTTGTGTCATAATTTCAGGATTCTTGGATTCTCATAGTCATTATTCTTGGTCATTCCTCGACATACCTCGAGAATGTTTATGGATCTCACCGGAGGACAGTGGCTGATTATTACATCTTTGTCAGAACTCTTACAGTGCCCTCAAGAGCATCTATGATCATGCTCACCACTCTCGTCGTCCCTGTCTTCAGAATCTCTACGTCACTATGTGCTTGTTTGTGCAAGGTGTGTTTTAATATCAGAGTTTTTTTCTTCGCAGGCAGGAAAAAAAAAACGTCTGATAGAAATTTTTTCGCCTCCAATTCCTACATGTGTCCAGTTTACCACTTTTATTGTCTGTCCAAACAGTTCTCACTTGTAAATGAGTCTTTGAGGCTCAATGTGACTTATCTGTTTAAATAAAGGTTGAATGAATGAATGAACATGGTGAACACTTCATTTACCAATATGTGACTATAAAAGTTTGCTTAGTGCAGTAGATACATTTTACTTTCTATCACAGTCCTCTCAAACCCAGCCATTAGAAGCAGATGACCACTTGTCCTGAGCCCAGTTCTGCTGAAGGTTTCTTCCTGTTAAAAGGGAGTTTTTCCTTTCCACTGTTGCCAATGTGCTTGTTCAGTGGGATGGACAGACGGGAGACTGCGGCAAAGTGTAGATTCAACATGACTGCTGGATTCCATCTTTAAATAGCTAACTTTTATTAATTGGCTTTTGTTTGTATGAGAATGCTTTTGTACAGTGTCCTGAGACAACTTCTGTTGTCATTTGGTGCTATATAAATAAACTTAATAGAATTGAATCATTCAAAACCACATAAAGGCAGTGAAAAGAAGGCAAAAGTAAAATCTGCATGCTCAGTACAATCAACTTCAAAATAAGTATGTATAAATGTATCAGTGTGTGCATACCTCCTATGTAAAGTTGAGTGTTGTGGTCAACTGAGGGCTGGCGTGCTAGCTTGCCCAGGCTCTTTGGTGCGCCGTTATCAACCACCAGGCTCAGCGAGCGATTCTGAATCAACAGTTCGACTGTGTGAAAAAGTCCATCATTGACGGACTCAACACTGCAACAAACATACAAACAGAAGATAAAAATATTTTCAATGTGTTCAGACTACGATATAATGTTCTAAAATTCTACATCTGACAAGAGAATTTGAAAAATAAAATGGGAGAACCAATTTTAAATCTGAGACAAAAAGCAGGCTGCAAACGTTAAAATAAAACCTTTTTTCCGTTATTTTGTTGTTTGCTGTAGTGACACATTTTTGTTACTGTCAAAACTTTTATTATTTTGATACTTTGAAAGTAAGACTGAGTCTCATTCCCAAAACCATGTTACACAAAAATAATCTGTTATTGTTCATGAATTGTCTACCCGCCAAATGAGCTCATCGGCCTGAAAGGCTCTTTCCTAGGAGAATCTTTCCACCTGACCTTCGGAAGTTGCAACATCCGAGCTTTTGGTTATCTCTTCTGTTAGAAGGGAGGTTTCTTCCCATAGATCAGAGTTTGCAAAGAACGACCCATTATTCACCCAAGGACACTATTTGGCAGAATTAAACTGATGGTCCAATGGTGCCCTCACATGATAGAATGTTCTGGTGAAGATTCTCGATGATAGAATGTTATTGTGAGCAAATGCATTTTAATTTTCTGTTCACAGTTTAACTGTTTACTATAAACTGTTATGAAATAACTTGTTTTCTTCTTTCTCCGTTTAGTACTCAATTTAATCATGCATAAGAGAAAGTGTATGTGTAAAGACCTGTTAAATTTTTGAAAAAAATTGGATGCTGTATATCATTGTGCCCTCCGTTTTATGACTGACTGTGGCTATAGAACACATCACTACACTTTGTATGCTACAGCAAAATGTCCCTTTTTGACTGACCACAGACGTACAAATTCAGCTTTTAAACAGACATATTGACTTTTCATTTCATGCCAACATGAAAATTCAATGCACGACATTATTCAGTCCAGAAAAATGAAAGAATCCGTTTAATTTATGAATATATCACAGCATATGTTCATCTACATACTGGTGGCCCGTAAGTTTGTTTAAACTACTGGTGGCCCGTGACAGGTTCATAAATGGACTGTATCCGTGTAACAATTGAATTATCATGTTGGCATGAAATGAAAAGTGCAGATTCTGCTGTGTGAAACGCAGCGCAGATGCGATGCTTGGAGAAAATACAGCTATGTTTTGCAGCTAGTGATGTTTTGAAAGCTGAAATTGTGAGTCAATATGTCTGTTTAAAAGCTGAATTTGTACGTCTGTTGTGTGTGACAAAGTTGCTGAGCTGTGGAAATGCTTTATTCTGTTTAAACTGTGTTCCAGACGTGGTTCTGGTCCGGCTCGGTTCTGATTCGGTTCGAACGAGTCGTGTTTGAAGATAGAGACGTTTTTAAAAAAGGAGCGCCGTCTCCGTGAAGCTTTGAGAGCTTATTGGTTACATTTTTAACAGAAAATAGTGCATTTTGACAGTTTAAAAGACGAAAAGTTGACCGGAATGTTAATGCTAACTGCTACACGCTAGCTGGAAAAACGATCTGTGATTGGTTGAAAACGGCCGTGTGGAACGCTCTGATACGCTGAGAAATGAGTGACGTGTCTGCGTCACTTCCTCTGAGTCAGCGATATAAGAACCCACCCCCGTTGCTGTTCTGTCATTGGTAGATTCAGTCACGTGACCCGGAAATGAAACTCGTTTTTCTAGGGAATTTCAATCTACTGTTTAAAGTTGAAAAACGCTTTAAAGTTGGATTCTGATCCGCTGCTCCGTTTCTTTGAAGCCTAATCGCTGAAACTTTGCCATGTTTGAGTTTGAAATCCGTCATTAAATGGTGTTTTTGGACCACGCTAGCCGATGCTAATTTTAAGCTAACAGCTAACGACCGGATGTCACCGGATGCCACAGGAAGTCATCGCGACTCCTACTGGACATCACTAACAGTGTCTGGGTTAAAATAAAATAAGGTTATACTGCCCCCTCCTGTGGAAACTTGATATCACAGTTTCACTTCGTTTCTAGGTTATTTTGGGTGAAATTATACGTGTTTATTTCTGTCAGACGCATTTTTGAGTTAATAAACGTTCCTCAAGCTGAATTATTACTGTTATCTTGCATTTAAAAAGTGATGAAGGTATTTATGCCAGAAGGGCATTTACCAAAACATTTTTTCATTCACTGGTAATTCCTCTGATGGAGGTGCAAAATGAAAAATTAGAAACTTTTTAAAAGATACAGTCCAGATATTCACAGAGTTGATAAAGTTTACTCATTTGCTGAAAAGATAATACACGTTTAATTGCTAGATCACAAAATAAGAGTAATTATATCAGAAAAAAGAAACTTTTCTGTTTAAGTTACCACCTAAAACACCACATCCTCCTATTTAACTTTTAAATAGAAGATAATGGCAGGAAAAGAGGAGTATAACAGTTTTCCTGAAGGGGAGACTGATTATTCCTCATCATCAATTTTTCTTTTTCTTTTCACCACCTGGTTCAATGAGTAACTGTATTTATAGCGAATTTCTGAAAAAAAAACGGCTTAAGAAAGCGTTTTTAAACTGATGTTGCAGTGAGACTTTCAGAAAAATTGCAGGTTTATAAAAATTCTGTGCTTTAGAGTAAAAAACACTGAGAAGCTTGGTAATCTTGTATCTGTTAAAAATAAACACATTAAAAAGTAACACTGCAGAGAAGCAATTACTTAAATATTCATGAATTGGGGTAAAACCTACAGATAGGTGCCCACATTTGAATAAGTTGACTTATTACAGTACTTTTGAGTAAATCCAGAGCTAAAATAGTGTGAAACTCAATGACACTTGAATACAAATATTTACCTGTTAAAATAATCTGAAGTTGGCAACTGTTTACACAGATAAGGCTACACAGTGAATAACCATGACAGGTGTGATAGAAAAGGATTTTGATCCTTGTGAGATGAAGGACTGTTTAGAGAGAGCGTTGACGCTGCTCACAGGATCCTTACATCCACATGGCGAACAGGTGGACAGCATGAACCCAAAAGAGTTATTGGACAATCTGAAGGAGGTTGCAGAGAGTGTGACCTCTACAGAAATTACAAAGTCAAGCTATGAAAAGCTGGCTAAAATGGCAATCTTGCTGAAAGAATCATTCTATACAGTGGTAGAAAAAGCTGACGACCTTGAGATAAGGTTAAACAGCGAAAAAGAGGTGGTTCAGGAATTTGAAGAACACTTCCTTCGATTTAAAAGTGAACACGAGGTCCTCACAAAAAAACATTTTGAACAGATGTTTCAATCACAGCAAGATGCACGTGCAGAAATTGATTCACTGAACAGCAAAATACAGTTACTTAATGCATCACTATCCGAAGCTAGGGATGCTAAAGAGCTGTTGTCCAGAGAATACTTTGCATTAAGACGGGATCACGTCGTGCCAGTGTCACAAGTTTCCCGCTGCAAAGCTGAGATAGATGTGCTTAAGACACAACTTTGCCATGCAGAAAGGAAATGTGGTGAGAGGCGTGGACAGAATGTGGAGACACACTGGGCTTCAGACCCAAATCTCCTCACATCAAACACCCCTCCATCCATACCTAAAGTGGTAGGGACAGACCTGAACAGGTTTTCACTACCAACCATGCAACAGCGTGCATGGAAACTTCCTCTTTCAATAGATGTTCTGCTAAAACTCTCAAAATATGTACAACGCTTTGTACCGGGACCAATGGGTTCAACTGGAACAAAAGCGTACCTCAAAGACATTGATTTTATCCTCAACCGTAGCATTAGGATAACCAGTCAGTCTGAATTCAGTCTGATAAGGCTCACTTCAGACAGAGAGGTGTTCACCTTCATCGAGCGTCTACCTGATGCAACGAGAAAGGATTACAACCTTCTGTGTGAAGCTTTGATCATAGAGTACGACCCCTGCATGGGACCTGCTGGTTTCCCAGCTGCTGACAAGGTCACGCAGGGCAAGCATGAACATCCAAAAGTCTATTACAAAAGAATCTTCCAAGCTTATTTTGGTTACAGAAATGAAACCGGAATGGAGGAAGAAGAAGGTTTTAAATATGTTTTCAGCAAAAATCTCCACACTGACATACGCATGTCAGTACAAATTATGGCAAATTTCAGAGAAAAATCCATCAATGAGATTAAACAGTGTGCTGTGAATGTGTTTGAGGCATGTTCTCATACTAAGATGCCCATAGAGGTGTTTCCTGGTATAAAGGTTAAACCCCACTCCCTAGAAATGGAAGGACGGCGTGCATTGACCCCTCCTCCTAAAACGGGCGAGAAAAGGCAGTATTTTCAAACTAACAGACCGCGTAATGAAGGTGCACGCTGGGACAAAAAAGCTCCTCTTTCAGAGGATGTACGTGATTATCGTAAATGGGGTGTGCATAGGACGCAAAGATATGGGAACCAAGAGGACCCATATTATCAGGGGAAGTCCGAAAAGGAACCCCCAAAAGACGTACCTAACCCTCCCCCACCTCGAACGAAATGAACCGAGGCGATAAAATCACAAAGGTTCCAGAAACAAGGCCCTACACCTCTGAGCTCGGAAGAGACAGAGAAAATGCGCAGGTTTTTAGAAACTTTGAAAAACGCTGAAATGGGAATCCAACCCGGAGCACTGTGTAGTGATGTGATTGCTACTAAATCTGAAGGCGCGAATGACAACATTACAGATGTCGGTGAAACACACCAAGACATTATTGTTGTGGCCTCCAACAACCCCTCATCGGACGAAGGGGGGTTAAACTCACACACAAACGATGATGAGTCATCGCAAGCTGAACACTCAGAACCTGATTTTCATGATTTTGAACTAGGCATTCCAGTTCTGGGAGGACTCCCAGATAACCTGGTACCGAGTCAAGAAGCTGGGCCAGTATGGTTCACAAAAGCAACACAGGCCATAGCTCTTTTCTCAACCGATGACGTCGACCAAGGGCCTCAAAACTATGGTGTCTTACCCATAGACAGGTCCGACGACTCAGAAAAGGATTCGTTAGAGCTCCCCAAGGAGCAAGAACCCTTATCAGTC